AGGAAATGGCACAATTGGAGTTAGAAACCTTACAACCTACGCTAACCGAACTCGATGAAAAAATAAAATATCTACTCATACCAAAAGATCCTGAAGATAGCAAAGATGTTATTTTTGAAATTAGATCAGGTACAGGAGGTGACGAGGCGAGTATTTTTGCAGGAGATTTATATAGAATGTACAATAAATACTTCGAAACCCAAGGGTGGAAAACAGAAGTGCTCGATGAAAATCCTGGTTCTGTAGGTGGATATAACAAAATTGTCCTAGAAGTGTACGGCGCAGATGTATATGGAAAATTAAAATTTGAATCAGGCGCACATCGGGTACAGCGTGTCCCTAAAACGGAAGCTCAAGGTCGTGTACACACATCAGCAGCTACGGTTGTGGTCATGCCAAAATTTGAAGAAGAAGAAATTGATATCCGAAAAGACGAACTACGTACAGACACCTTCAGAGCGCAAGGAGCAGGTGGACAGCACGTAAATAAGACTGAGTCAGGTGTGCGTTTTACACACTTACCTACAGGAATAGTTGCCGAAAGTACAGACTCAAGATCCCAACACAAAAACAGGGAGATCGCCCTACAAAGATTGTATGTAAAAATTAAGGAGGCAGCTAGAGAAAAATCATATTTAGAGCAAAAAGACAAAAGAAAATCACTTGTAGGATCAGGTGACAGATCAGATAAAATCCGTACTTACAACTATCCACAAAATAGACTTACAGATCATCGTATCAATCTAACGCTTTACAGTTTAGATAGAGTTGTAGAAGGAGATCTCGAAGAAATCGTGCAGTCGCTCCAAAGAGCTGAAAATGCCGAAAAGATGAAGGGAAGTGATGAATAATGCTGTTTTAGCGAATAGTTTTTAGGATTATTTCTAATGTATTTATAGTTTAGATGATATTATGTTTGTCATCACTTGATTGTATTTGTTGTCTTTAGAACCCACCAAAAAACACAAAACTGCATCTGTATAGATATAGCACAATACAGAATTTTATCGAAGCTTCTTATGTCCTGCCTTTGTGTTGCAATTTGATTTATCACACAAAAATAATATCAACATGGCAACAAGACATCGCCCAAATAATGAAATCAATGCCGGTTCAATGGCAGATATTGCGTTTTTATTGCTCATATTCTTTTTAGTCACTACTACCATTTCGGAGGATAAAGGGATTTTAGTGAAGCTTCCACCTTGGACGCCAGATCAACCAGAACCTACAGATGTAAAGCAACGAAATGTCTATTCTGTACTTATAAATGCAAACAATGAGTTGTTAGTTAGAAAGGTACCGATGGACATAAAAGATCTAAAATCGAATGTCAAAAATTTTATACTCAATCCAAATCAAGACATTTTACTTTCGGAAGATCCGACCCAGGCTGTCATCTCATTAAAAAATGATCGTGGTACAGAGTATAAAACTTACATAGAAGTTTATAATGAGCTCAGAACTGCCTACAACGAACTTTGGGAAGAAATGGCATTATCACGATTCGGGAAGTCGCTACCAGAACTTTCTGCAGCACAACAAAAACAAATCAAAGATGATATTCCACTTGTGATCTCAGAAGCGGAGCCTACGGCATTTGGGGATGAGGATTGATACTTATTTTTATTATTGATTGACGAAAGGTATGAAATTTAAAAGGTTAATTTTGAAATTGGAGACTAAAAAAATTAAAGCTGATATCATGTTATTGATGATATATTAAACGCACAATCTGGGTTCAAAAAGCTTCTGAATAGTTAATATTTTTATAAAAAATTAAACATAAGACACTTAATATCCGTTTGTCCGTTGTAATTACTAACTTTACACTTTAATTTTAAAAGAATATATGAGTTCATTTAATTCGGATGTGGAAGCGGTTGATGCAATGGCACAATCGTTCAAGGACCTTAGAGCAGAAATAGGAAAAGTGATCGTAGGTCAGGACGATGTCGTAAAATCGGTAATTATTTCATTATTTAGTAATGGTCATAGTTTGCTTGTAGGTGTACCTGGTCTGGCAAAGACTTTGTTGGTAAGTACGATTGCAGACGTATTGGACCTTGATTTTAAAAGGATACAGTTTACGCCCGATTTGATGCCATCAGATATTACGGGTTCAGAAATATTGGATGAAAATAGACACTTTAAATTTAATAAAGGACCTCTATTCACAAATATCCTACTGGCAGATGAGATCAATAGGACGCCACCAAAAACTCAAGCTGCACTTCTAGAAGCCATGCAAGAAAGATCAGCAACTGTAGCAGGTGTAAAGCATAATTTGCCAAAACCATTTTTTGTACTTGCTACGCAAAACCCGATAGAACAAGAAGGAACATATCCATTGCCAGAAGCACAGTTGGATAGATTTATGTTTAATATTCCATTGGACTATCCTAGCTATCAAGAAGAGGTTAGGGTTGTAAAAAGCACGACTTCCAATGAAAAATATGTTTTAAAAAATATTCTTACTGGAGACCAAATATTAAATTTCCAGTCATTGGTGCGCAAAATACCTATCGCTGACAATGTTCTAGAATATGCTGTATCGTTAGCTTCTAAAACTAGACCAAATACGCCATTGGCTACTGCTGAAGTTAACAATTATATATCTTGGGGAGCTGGACCGAGAGCATCTCAGTACTTGGTATTAGGTGCAAAATGTCATGCAGCCATCTCAGGTAAATATTCTCCTGACAAAGAAGATGTCCAAGCCATTGCCAATTATGTATTGCGTCATAGAATCGTGCGTAATTACAAGGCAGAGGCAGAAGGCGTCTCAGAAGAGCAAATCATCAAGAATTTGTTTTGACCAACAGTTGTTTAAATATCCCCAATTAGTCAAACAAAGCAGCTGATTTATCCAGCAAGGATTTTTTTGATCATTTAAAAGTAACAAAATGAAACGTTTGTATTTTTTGTTTATTCCCCTATTTCTATTTTCCTGTGATCCAAAGGACCTTCAAAAAGTCTTAGACACTGTCAATTCTGTGCCACTGACCAATGCTGATATTGCATCTGGACTGAAAGAAGCGCTTAATAAAGGAGTAGATCAAAGTGTAAAAACATTGGCAGTAACTGATGGCTACTATGCATCTATTTATAAGATTGTGTTGCCAGAAGAAGCCACTAAAGTGATTGACAAACTGAAATTTATTCCAGGTTTTGCTAATCTTGAGCAAGAAGCGATCAAAAGAATCAATAAGGCAGCTGAAGATGCTGCTTCCAAAGCAGGTCCAATATTTTTAGGTGCTGTCAAACAAATGACTTTCGAAGATGTAATGGGAATATTGATGGGAGAAAAAAATGCAGCCACCACTTATTTACATAATAAAACGTATAGTTCTCTTTATAATGAATTTAAGCCAGTGATGAATACATCGCTTAATAAATTTGGTGCGTTAGATCTTTGGACAGACGCCATCACTAAGTATAATTCTCTTCCTTTTGTGACTAAGGTCAATCCAGATCTTGCTGATCACGTGACGTCAAAAGCACTTGTAGGTTTGTTTTCGCTTGTAGAAAAAAAGGAATTAGGTATCAGAACAGATATCAATCAAAGATCATCTGACTTATTGAAAAGAGTATTTGCAAAGCAGGATAAATAAGAAAACAGAATTCTTCAGTTATCAAAAAAGGATGACTCATATATCAATACGAGTCATCCTTTTTTTATGCTTATTATTTGTATAACGAAGGAAAGGAACTCTATTTGATTTGATTATTTTTTCACCACAAATGGATAGACTATTGCCAAATGTTCTCTTAATTTTTTCATATCTCCTATGACTTCATCATACACAGAAATATTGAACATTCTTGTGTTATAAATTCTTTTTAATATTAGGATCAATCTGCTACTATCTTCTTTTGAAATATCAAGTGGAATATTTATTTTTTCAAGTTTACCATTTTCGTTGAAGACTAAGGAGTTGTCCAGAATTTCATTGATATGATGAGATTCATTGGCATAAAGCTGAGACTCTTGATACTTTTCTTCTATTTTTTCTAATACTTCATACTGAAAATCATAAAGTTTGATCATTTGCCTTCTTAGAGAATCATTTGATATAGAATTAAATCCTCTTGACCTTATGGTTTCGAAAGGTGAAGTATTTTGAATACTAACAAAATTACGAGTTAGGGTATTGTGGTGAATATCGAATGAATCAATAGTGACCAACTGGCCCTTTACCATTTTAAAAAAATATTTCACTGCATTTATACCACGCTCATGACCAAATTTATTCATTTCAGCATCTCTGATATCCTCGTCAAGACTATGATACATTTCCTTAATCGTAGCATCGATATAAGCTCGTTGCTTGAGTTCTTCAGAATAATTATTGGCCATAAATCCCAAATAAACACCAAAAACTACAACAAAAAGTTCTGCCAAGTACTTCAGAAGAGTCTTGGATTTTAGTCTTGTGTGATTTATTTTAGAATTCTGCACTTCCTGAATATCTAGGGAAAGGAATTACATCTCTTATATTGGTCATGCCTGTGACAAATAATACAAGACGCTCGAAGCCAAGTCCAAATCCCGCATGAGGTACTGTTCCATATCTTCTAGTATCTAGAAACCATGACATTTCTTCTACAGGTATGTGCATCTCATTCATTCGTCTTACCAAAAGGTCATATCTTTCTTCCCTCTGAGAGCCACCTATGATCTCGCCGATACCTGGGAATAAAATATCCATAGCCGAAACTGTAGGTCCTGGAACACCTTCTTTTGGATCATCTTGTCTCATGTAAAATGCTTTAATATCCGCAGGATAATTGGTCAAGATAACAGGCTTTTTGAAATGTTTTTCTACCAAATATCTTTCGTGTTCTGATTGTAGATCAGCGCCCCATTTTTCGATAGGGTATTGGAATTTTCCTTTTTTATTTGGGGTCGAGTTCTTAAGGATATCTATTGCTTCTGTATATGTCAATCGCTCAAACGGGTGCTCAAGACAGAATTTTAATTTTTCTATCAAAGACATTTCTGATCGCTCAGTTTGTGGCTTGGTTTTTTCGTCATCTATAAGTCTTTGCTCAAGAAATGCCAAATCTTCAGCACAATTGTCAAGTGCATATTGTATCAGGTATTTCAACATATCTTCTGCCAAGTCCATATTGTCATGAAGATCATTAAACGCTACCTCAGGTTCCATCATCCAGAACTCTGCAAGGTGCCTTGTTGTATTAGATTTTTCAGCTCGGAATGTAGGACCAAAAGTATACACTCTCCCTAAAGCTAAGGCTGCTAATTCTGCTTCCAATTGTCCAGATACAGTCAGATTGGTCGCTTTGCCAAAAAAATCTTCTTTATAGTTGATACTTCCATCTTCTTTTCGTGGTGGATTGTTCATGTCCAAGGTAGTCACTTGAAACATTTCTCCTGCTCCTTCGGCGTCACTTCCTGTAACTATAGGACTATGTATATTGACAAAATTACGATCATTAAAAAACTTGTGAATCCCGTAAAATAGCGCTTGTTTAACCCTCGAAATAGCACCAAATGCATTGGTCCGGAATCTTAAGTGAGCGATCTCTCTAAGATATTCCAAACTAGGTCTGTTTTTTAGTTGGATTGGATAAGTCTCAGGATCGCAATCTCCCAAAATGTCTATTTTTTCTGCAACAAGCTCTACTGTCTGACCTTTGCCTTGAGACTCTATGAGTTGTCCAGTGATACTTATGCCTGCACCTGTGGTGATACGTTTGATTGTGTCTGCATCAGTTTTGTCCAATTCAACAACTACCTGAAGATTTGCAAGACAAGAACCATCATTTATTGCAATAAATTGGTTGTTTCTGAATGTACGGACCCAACCCATTACGGTATATTGTTGGTCGGTAGTAGCCTGAAAAATATCCTTAACTCTCATTCTTTTTGCCATCTTACTATTGATTTATACAGATTTAGGATGCAAAAGTAAAGCAATTTATAGAGTAAAGCACAATTAGATTGTGAAAATTATGTATTTTGATTTAGCTATCATCTTTGGACCACTAAGGAATTATTTCCTGTAAGGAAATCTCCTAGCTACATCATTGGTCAACCAAGCTACTAAGTCAGTGTTTTTATAGTGTACTCCAAGGTCTCTTTTCTTTGAATAAGCCCTTCTCATAAAAGTAAAAGCCCTAAACAACAAAAGACATTTAGGGCTTTAAATTTTTTCTGGTACTTACTTAATCCAATCGCTCAATAATACCTGCTATACCTTGTCCACCACCTACACATGCGGTGACCATACCATATTTTTGATTGCGACGTCTGAGTTCATTGATGATTTGAATGCTTAGTTTTGCTCCTGTACAACCCAGCGGATGTCCTAAAGCAATCGCTCCACCATTTACATTTACGATGTCAGGATTTAGACCCGCTTCTTGTATGACAGCTAAAGCTTGAACCGCAAACGCTTCATTTAGTTCAATAAGACTGATATCTTCTAGGGTGAGTCCTGCTTGTTTTAGTGCTTTAGGAATGGCTACCACAGGGCCAATACCCATATAAAGTGGATCTACACCACCTACAGAACAAGACGCAAGTCTTGCTACAGGTGAAAGTCCTAAACGATTGACCATTTCTTCGCTCATCACTAGGACAAAAGCGGCTCCGTCAGATGTTTGTGATGAATTGCCTGCTGTAGATGTACCACCTAGCTTGAATGCAGGTTTTAGCTTGGACAATCCTTCTAGTGTGGTGTCTGCTCTCACGCCTTCATCTGTATCAACTACATATGTTTTTTCTACTCTTTTATCATTTTCTACCAATACATCATTGATCGTAATGGGAACTATTTCATCCTTAAATTTTCCAGCAGAGATAGCTGCTGCTGCTTTAGCATGTGATTTTACTGAAAATTCGTCTGCTTGCAACCTTGTGATATTATATCTTTCAGCTACTGCTTCTGCTGTGTGTCCCATACTAACATGATAATTAATATTATCCATGCTCGCTTTATAACTTGGGGCTAGCTTGTATCCTGTCATCGGCAAAAGCGACATAGATTCGGCACCACCAGCTACGTAACAATGTCCCATTCCTGCATTAATTTTTGCTGATGCAATAGCTATGGCCTCTAGTCCTGATGCACAATATCTGTTGATGGTCATACCAGGTACTTCCTTACCTAGTGCACGAGCAGCTATAAGTCTACCAACTTGTAGTCCTTGTTCGCCTTCAGGATTGGCACAACCTACGATGACGTCGTCAATTTCTTTTGGGTCTAGTTGTGGTACTTCAGAAACTAGATAACTGAGTATATCTACGGCTAGGTCATCAGAACGATAATTTCTGAAACCACCTTTTTTTGCTTTTCCCACTGCGGATCTGAATCCTTTTATAATATATGCGTTCATATTGATTTCTGATTTTTATTTAGTGAATTTGGCAGAATTAATTAATTTCTCAATGGTTTGTTATTCATCAATAAATACTGAATCCTATCCAATGTTTTCTGATTTCCTAGGAGTTGCAAGAAAGCTTCTCTTTCGATATCCAAGAGATACTGTTCAGATACTTTTTGCTGACTAGTTAAGTCACCACCACAAAGCACATAGGCTACTTTTTTGGCGATTTCCATATCGTATTCACTCATATATTTACCAAGATAGAACTCATTGAGTGCTGTATAAAGTGTACCTAGTCCACCACGACCTAAGACGGTGACTTGTTTTGGACTCGGTGCTGTATAATTTCTTGCCAACTCTAGTACCTTTGCTTTTGCGGTGCTAAGTACTTTTGCAAGGTTTACTTCTACACTGTCTCTATCGTGCTGTAAGTATCCATGTTTGAATCCTTCATATGCTGAAGTGGATACCGTAGCCGTAGCAATCACTTTTAATTTTTCTACCAAAGTAGGAATTTGCACATCTCCTTCAAAGAAAGCGTCCGATGCTCTAACGGCAAACTCTTTGGTGCCACCACCACCAGGAATTAGACCGACACCTACTTCTACCAATCCTATGTATGACTCTGCATGACAAACAGCGGCATCTGTGTGCATTAGGATTTCACATCCGCCACCGAATACATAACCTTGTGTAGCTGTTACAACTGGGATATTCGCATATCTAATGGCCATATTTATTTGTTGGAATGCATGGACCATTTCGTCTAGTTTTGCAAAATCTTTTTGCATGGCAACCATTCCGACATTCATAAGATTGGCACCTACGGTAAAGTTTTTGGCATTATTTCCAATGACGATACCTGTCCAATCACCATTTTGAGCCATGTTTAATGCTTCGAGTGCACCTTGACCGATACCTTCTCCAATGGCGTTTGATTTAGAAGTAAATTCAAAACAAAGTACGCCATCACCTATATCATGGATAGCACACTCAGAGTTTTTATATACAGGCGTATTTGTTCTGTAATTGTCAAGGTGAATATTCAGTTCTGTACCAGGTATCACTTTATAAGCAGCAGCATCGAGATCATAGTATTTGCGTTTGCCATCTTCTGATTTATAGAAAGAAGTCACGCCATTTGCCACCATATTTTCTACCCAAGCAGGCACGGACTCACCAAAAGATTTGGCAAGGGCGATTCCTTCTGCCAATCCGATCATATCCCAATATTCAAATGGTCCGTAGGTCCATGCGTATCCTGCTTTCATAGCATTGTCAAGGGAATAGATATTGTCACTTATTTCAGGTATTCTATTGGCTGCATAGACCATGATTCCAGATAGAAGATCTCTTACAAAATTGCCAGATTTTTCGTCAGATGCAAATATTTCTTTTAGTCTTTTGTCCATGATTTCCACTTTTTTGGCGATGCCTACAGCAGGTAGCATGGGTTTTTGACTTGGTTTATATTCTAGCGTATTAAGGTCTAGGGCAAGAATGATTCTGCCACCTTTGTCATCACGTTGGTCTGTCTTTTTATAAAAACCTTGTCCGGACTTATCACCTAAGAAATTATTGTCTAGTAAAAACTGTGTAGCTTTGGGTACTGCTCTATCCTTTAGGACCTTGACATATTCGTCATCAGGGCAATTGTCTTTGACACCTTTGGTCACTTTTACAGAAGTGTCTAAACCCACAAGATCGAGCAATCTATAACTTCCTGTATTAGGCCAAGCGATGGTTTCGCCAGTGAGTTTGTCCACTTCTTCTATGGTAAGTTGGTATTTTTCAGTGAGTTCGCTTACTTTATTACCGCTGTAGAAACCGATCCTATTTGCGATAAAAGCGGGTGTATCTTTGCACAAAACAGCTCTTTTTCCTAGGAATACTTCGCCATAATGCATCCAAAAGTCTACTACATCAGCGTCAGTACCTGCATGCGGAATGACTTCAAATAGCGCCATGTATCTAGCAGGATTAAAGAAGTGTGTACCACAGAAGTTCTTCCTGAAATCATCACTTCTACCTTCCGCTAGTTGTGAAATTGGAATACCAGAAGTATTGGAAGTGACGAGTGAATGAGACTTTCGCAGGGCATCTACTTTTTCGAATATTTGTTTTTTGATATCTAGTCTTTCTACGACTACTTCGATGATCCAATCACATTCACTGATTTTTGCCATATCATCTTCGAAG